AAAATTCCCTGAGGTTTTGAAAAATACACATCCACATCAAGAGTGCAAAATGGGTAAAGATCCGCACAGCCAGGCATGAGAAGCACACCAGATGGGCAGAAGGCTCGTCACCACATAGGACTGGGGACTATTCAACTGCTGGCACTGATGTATATGTTGAAGGGGGATTCGGAGCACCTGTGGGACATGTCCGTAGTGCTGTAAAAGATAACCCAAATCATAACACATAACTCAAAACAGATTGTAGTAAAGGTAGCAGTTTGAAGATGTGAACCAGTCGTCATTGCACATAATAAAAAACCATCAGTGCTCTGCCCCCATTAACGGACAGCTGATAAGAACTGTCCCTGCCTGTGTCGCCATCCGCACTCAACTCTGTACGCTACAGCGACGTTCCCTCCTTTATCAGATTATAGTGTGTTTTATTGACACTTTACAGTTTGTTTGTGATACTGTTTAAAAACAGTCTCAGGTGTATAGATCAGAATTAATGCGTAGAGAGAAAAGATATACTCTAGGTAACATAACAATCAACAGCTATAATTGGCACTGACACTGGCTTCCACCCCACGGTATACTGGATTTAATACATAAACTACTGAATGTTGTTGTCTTTCTGATGGTCTCAGGTTCCTCGTTGGTTGGAGAGTGTGAAAGAGTTCACCTGCTTGGAAATTGCTGCTGCCACTGATCCACACAGTAGTCAGAATGGAAGGGTATAACTGTTTTTTTTTCCTTCACACGTATTTGAGAAGTGTGTTCTTCTTTGTTTGCTTACTGAAGGGTAATTAGAAGGGTGTGTCCATTTCCTTACTGACAGATAATTGAAAAGTATGTCTGTGTTTCCTTCTTAAAAAGGTAATTGGAAGAAATACCTGTGGTTTCCTTTCTCAAAAGTAATTGAAAGGGTATGTCTGTGGTTTCCTTACTTAAAGAGTTATTGGAAAGGGTTATGGCTTTGTTTTCCCATTTACAAATAATTGGAAAGGTATGGCTAAGTTTACTTATTTACTCTTATTTGGAAGGATATATTTGTGTTTGCTTACTTACCGCTAATGGTAAGGCTGTGGCTTTGCTTTTCATTGACAATTAATTGGAAAGGGGCAGGCTGTTTGTAATATGGAAGGATTTGACTATTTCCTTACTTAAAGTTAATGTGTCAAAGTCGAGCCTTTTTATCATTCTCCGGTGATAAGTCATGAGTGTACATAACTGGTGTGCTAAAGTTTGTCTACAGATGGGAGGCTTCAGGTCTTGCAATCCCTGTTGGTTTCTGAGTTGGGAGAGGTTAAGAGCTAAATAATCAAGTATCCATAGTGAGGGTACTTCTATACTGAGTCTGGAGAGGTTAGAGAGAGCTATGCAGTCAAGTCTGCATACTGATTATACTGATAGAACCTCTCTATTATGGATGATCTGTGGGGAGGAGTTTAATTATGTGAAGAGCTATGCAGTGGATGGATAGGGGATGGAGTGGGGGGGGGTTGGGGTGATGATGGGGGGGGATGGGTGGCGGGGTAACAGTCTGTCTGCATTTGTTGATGATACATCTGGACTGAGTTGGGAAAGGTTAAGAAGAACTATGCAGTCAAGACCCCATAGTGATGTACTTCTGTTTTCCTACAGTGTTCTGGAGTGTGATGATTCTGTAGCCATTTATTCTCGTGTGGTCTTTTCCTGGCTTAGGAACCGGTCTGAGGTAGCTGTGGAGCCAGTCATCAGGAATAATGCCAGTTTTCATGGTGTTGTTAAAAATCGTGGATAGTTCATCAATATCTGTCGCCTCAAGGCTTTTGAAGTGGCTGTATCTAATGCCATCAGGCCCTGGAGCTGTGTCCGGACAGGTCTTCAGTGTTGCTCTGATGCAGTCCGTTTGGATGTATACTGTATCATCGACTTCCTCCATTTCAGCCATCTGGATATCATATAAACTCTGTCTCATCTGTTCCCTCGCTCTTCCTATCTTTCTTTCCGTCTGCAGAAGAAATCTGTGCAGGATAGCCTCGCCCTTGTCTTTATCCGATTGTAACCCACCACCCCGTTGTCCATCTTTAGCTCGGGCATAACAGAGGTTTGTTTGCCTCCGTTCATCTTTTGGTGAAGCCGCCAGAATTTTTAAAGTGATTTTTCATAACCTATTTCCTCGCAAAAATGTTCCCACATTGTGTGCTTAGACTCCCTTTGCGAGTTGTTTAAATGTTCAGTGAGTCTGTCTTTTTTGTGTTTAATGTCTTGTTTCAGCGCCTCAGTAAAATTCGAAGACTTTCTGCATTTCTCCCAGTCTTTGGTGGCACCTCGTTTCTCTGTCCAGGCTTCTGCGACTTCAGGTGTCCACCACGGGGGCTGTGAAGGATAGCTTTCTTCTTTCCCGGTGTTCTGCGTGACCTGTCTCGCAGACGCCCAATTATATTAGGCTGATATGCAGCGTACTGGAAAGTAGGGCTGGTCTCTGATACCTTGTACAGATTGTGTTGTTTGACCAGAAAATCCAACATGGGAAGGTGGTCGCTTCCATGATGTCCCCAGTATGCCCCACTGGCAGAGTGCACTCATACTGGGAGAGACCAGCGTGAGATCAAGGGCACTGTCAGTATCACCTTCTCTGTCGGGGATTCTGGTGGGTCTGCCATCATTCAAGCAGATTAAATCCGTGTCTGTTAGTGCTTCCTCCAATGCCTCGCCCTGCTTATTGACCGTCGGATTGCCCCATAGACGACCTTTGGCGTTGAAGTCCCCACACATAATGATGTCGGTGGCCAGAAGGTTAACCCAAATATTGGAGTCGGGTGGCCTATTCCCCGCTACACTAGGTGGCTACCGACCAGGAAGAGATACATGGTGCAATGCTGCAGTATTTGCCTACGACACATATGAGGGTTTCCAGGAGGGAATAGAAACGGCTGCAGCCGCTATTGACTTAGAAGATGTGTACAACAGCGTCCCATACAACATGCTCATCAGACTGCTGTTGGATATGCAGATAGAAACAAATTTGGTCAACTGGATCGCAGCAGCGCTATTTGAAAGAACAGTGTCGCTTCGATGTGGTGAATGGGCATCCGAACCTCAACGCGTCCTAATGGGTCTGCCCCAGGGATCACCATTGTCGCCTGTGCTCTTCAATGTGTACACAGCAGGAGTCACTAGTGCACAACGCGTAGGCCTAGGCAGAACAATGTTGTATGCAGATGATATCCTTGTTTACCGTCGAGGTAAAAACAGGCAGGAAATTACAACCACACTACAACACGAACTAGACAGACTTAGTGAGTGGTGCCAGGAATCAAGAGCTCACGTGAACCCGTCCAAAGCCTCCTTAACATGGTTCTCTCTGAATACCCACATCGTGAGTACACCAACGCCAGTCGTAAGCATCTGTGGTGGGGACATCGAGAGAACGGAAACCATGAAATACCTGGGCATGACATTTGACAGATGCTTGTCATACAAATGCCACGTAGACAACGTCATACTTAGAGCCAGGAAAGGTTTGACAGCACTCAAGGTGCTAGCAGCAGCTGATATTGAACAACGTCTACTCTTCCTTCTCTATCAAGGGCTTGTGCTTAGCGTCATTGACTATGGTCTTGGCCTCCTCACTGTCAGCAAAACCCAGCTAGAAAGACTGGACCGAGTACAGAATGAGGCCATGAGACTCATACTCGGCTGCACAAAAGACACCTCCTGCAACGCCATGCGTTATATTCTGGGTCTGCCGACTATGACAAGCAGATACAAAGTGACACAGGTCAAGGCTTACATGAGGGTATCGGCAGATGTTAACCACCCATTACACAAAGCTATTCACGACACAAAAGGAACGCGTCTCAAAAGGGGCCGCTCTTGGATTGCAAAGGCTGAGGACTTAATCCAGCAGGTATGTGACCTAGACGTGATCAGCCACGGAAAAGAATGGACGAATACACCAGTAGACATGCATGGCATCTCTAAGGTTGTCATCACACTCGGAAGGTACTGCAGGGATCAAATTCCTGCGGCGGTAGACACAGAAGTAAGGGAACTGATAGATCAGCATTCAGACCCAGAAAATATCATCATCTACACAGATGGATCCGTGAAGCGCGGATCAAGGTCAGCATGGGCATACACAGCGCAAAGAAAGGGGAAAACAATACATGAGGACAGCGGCGCTTACCAGACAACCACGTCAAGCATGACAATGGAAATAGCCGCTGCTTCTAGAGCTTTAGCATGGGTATCTGAGCAAACCGCCACACAGGTAGTAATTGTCTCAGACTCAATGAATATGCTTCAGAAGATAGCAACAGGCAGTATGCGCTCTGAATGGATAGAAAGCATCAGGAAATCGCACTTAACCTCCGTAACCTGGATCTACACACCGGGTCATGCGGGCGTGAAGGGAAATGAGCGAGCAGACCAACTGGCAAGCACCGCACTAATGATTGCGGGAAAAAGTATGGACAGAGCAGACATAGTCAACGCTGTACGAACTGGGCTAGTGGAGAATGAGGAATCCCTGACACTAACACGATTGCGTGACATGGGAGTTAAGCATGGTGATGCAAGTCTTTGCCGTCTTCGAGGCCGAGAAAGGAGACAATATAACCAGCTTCTCATGGGGACAATTAGTAAAAGTACTTTAGAGTGGCTGCTGCTTCGGAGAACTGAGCACGCATGGGTATGCCCAATGTGCAGTGACATTAATTGTGATAACAGAACATAAAATAACAATCATCTTAGTAGGGAGTCGGCAGTACGAAACCCAAGTTCAAGGTGTCTCCTTCGTGCCAAAGAACTGCATGACTGTTGGGTGAACAGTCGTTAACGATGGCAGGCAGGTCGTTGTAGGGGCGACGCCTGCTGGTGGATGTAATGTCCTAAGTCCCTTCCCCAGCTAATAATGAGGGTACTGCTGGGGTGACCGTTTATTAACCCTCATACAATTCTTCCGGTCAAAATGGACGCTAGGTACGGCCACCTTTTTTTTTTTTTTCTATTTGTAGACTGGAAGGATGTAGTTTCGTCGCCCAGCTTCTGAGTTGAGTGCATGGCGTGACACTGTGAGCTGCGTTTGTTTTTCGTTGGCACAGGAGCGGAGCATATGTGGGGTGACCCGTTTGCTATGAAGCTGAAACTAGGATTACCAGTACTTCTGTACTGAGCAGGGAGAAAGATCTCTATACCAGTCTTTCCCATTTTAATGTTCTAGTGAAACAAATTGAAGATGTTTGTGAGATCACAGTGATGATACATCTGGACTATGTAGTCAAGATCCCATATGAGGTACTTCTTTACTGAGCTGGGAGAAAGATCAATATACCAGTCTTTCCCATTTGATGGTCGCAAGGAGCAAATTAATGAGTCTGTGATATCATTTACAAGTAGACCCTGAACTTTAGAACACATTCCTTTTTGCTGTTCTTCTTATCATGTAGTGATTTCATGTAACATATAATGTTATGTTTTTCCCCCAGTGGATCTGTGTTCACGTTTGGATTGAACTTGTATCATCAGTTAGGACAAACCCCTGTAGTAGAGAACAGTCCTTTGCCAAAGCAGGTGAGTCTCAGAAAGTGAAGGATGTGTTTCCAGATCTTGAGGTGTAATGGGCACATGATGCTAACCCAGCGGTTCCCAACATTTTTTGAGTTGGGGCCCCATTTTATAGGGGTAAAGGGAACGGTGACTCAATACATTAAAAATAGGTTTTTTTTAATAGGGTAAATAAAAACTCCCCAAAATGGATTTCTTCAGTATAAAATATAATTAATACAATTTTCTCTCTCATTTGCTTCTTAGCTCACCACTGCCTGACAACCCCATTTGGGGCTGAGAACATAACCCCATATTTTTTATAGACTAGTCAGCACTTGATGACTGAGGTAGTCAATATGCTGCCTGCTTTTACTTTTAAAACATTCTCTGGTATTCATTTTTAGGCTGCAGCAATATGGGAACCTGGGTCAATTTGACTTAACCAGTTTAATTTTAAATGGGGCATTTTTGGTCAAACCACCTGGGATGTTTTTCAAACCAAACTAGGCAATTTTCAAACCACCTAGCATGTTTTTCAAATCAAACTGGGTGTTTTTCAGATGTCCTGGGTGGTTTAAACAGTTGTCCTGTGTGATTTTAAAAACATCCCACATTTGAAAATCATCCAGTTTTCAGTTTGAGAAACATCCTTGATGGTTTGCAAATCATCTAGTTTGATTGAAAAATTTTCCTGTGGGGTTTGAAAATTGTTCAGTTTGGTTTAAAAATTTCTATGTGGTTTTACAATCATCCACTTTGACACCCAAAATGTCCAGTTTAAAGGGAGAAAGGTATGAATATTTTAGGGCTGGCAGACAAGTGTCTAGCTCATGCACCGCAGTTGAAGTATATTTATGTTCTTTCAACTTGTAGTGAGGAGTGCTATAGCTTCTAAAGATAATTTCAGTAATCAAACATTTGTTTTTATTATTTATATTATTTTGTCTTCTTTCTTTGTTTACTCTGAAAAAATATTTCACCGCCTTAAAAAACATTTTTCTTTCTAAGATGTTGTTTCTCACCGAACTCAAAACTGCGGCTGTTATTTAAGTTTCTAATAATGTCCATCTATCAAAAGTTTCAAAATATTGACCCCATATTTGGTCTGCCACCTTTAAAATGTTGAAACATTGATTCTGAATCTGTCTGTCTGAAGAGCAGCTGGCCACTTTGTTCAGAATTCTGTGCTGCCACGCGGGAGACTCAGGTTTATATTCTCAGTAAGGTTATGGATTTTTCCGTCAGGGATAAGAAAATGAATCCTAACCTAGACAGTCAGGGGCGACTGCGCTTACCATGTGGCCCTAAATCCACAGGCTCGTTGATCGCCCTACCTGCACCACAAAAATGTTAAATACATTCAGTAGTGGCACAAATTGAAAATGGGGGAGGGGGAAAGAGATCTAGAATCTGGCCTACCAACATGAACATTCTGAAATATTGATTGCAGTCTGATCATCATAGCATCAACCATTTGAAATATTGATTCTACATTGCGTTGACTATTAAGGGGTATCCTTCGAAGTTGGAGTGCATCTGCCTAGAAGGCAAGAAACCACCGGTCTGCATTGTGTAAGCTAGATCTGTAAAATGAAGTGGACGAACAGCGGAACTTTCTTTTAACTTTCAACCTGTAACCTTTCTGCCGGGGCTTACAGCTAGTAAATGAGAAAAGTAAAAACTAACGTCTCACCATGATTATTTTTAAATTTTGGTCCTCCCATAAAAAAAAAGACCCAGACTCCCCCCCCCCCTTTTTTTTTTTTCAAGAGTTTATTTATTTATATAACAAAATGCTTGTATGTTTACCAGATGAACCTGAAACCTTTAAAAGGAAAGAGTATCAGTGGAGTCTGTGTAGGCAGGTTCCATTCCGTTGTTTGGACTCCTGACAGTGTGTTTACAGTGGGATTCAATGCTGGCCAGCTGGGTAAGAGAGCACTTTGTTGCATTCCTCAAGCATTATGCAGATTAACTGTTAGACACTGTTTTTCTTTGGAAGGAGACACATGTGATGACATAAAGAAGTAACACAGTGTAAGATGCAGCTAGAAGGTTGGCCAGTAATCAAGACATTGAATGATGGGCAAGAGATGGCAGGGGATAAAAGGAAGGCTTGTTTGAGGGTCTGCGCTCTGTCGAGACATATAGAGTAAAGACACTGAGGAATACAAAAAATCTTGTTCTTACACACACGAAGATGATGTTAGGTTTAAAAATTATTTAGCTGGAACTTACCCTTTTAAACCAAAATAAAAATAGAAGGAAGTGCTGTTTTGTAAGATTCTAAAGGAAGTCACATTACCCTGTAGACGAGCAAAGTTCTTTTAACATATTTCTTATGGGCTAAGTTCAGAAAAAGGAGAAGCAATTATATTTTGTATCGTTTGATACTAGTGGAGTTTGTATTCAAGATATAGTTCCATTGTGTTCATTAAAAACTGTCATTACTGCCTGTGTATTACCACTTTTGCTATTAGGGGGTCTTTAAACCTGAAGATTTAGGGCCTCATGTTTAATGCAGGTGCCATAGACTGCTGGTTAGGATCTTATTTTTGCCCCTACAAAAGAAAGCCATAATCTTGGAGAGGATTTGAACCTGGCTCTTCCACCTAAGAGCCCGGCATTCTAAACTCTACTGGCTGCATTGTGTATTTTGACTATATTATTTATGTCACTAAATTTGCAGAATATTTAACATTTCTTGTTGAAATTTTCAGGGCATCAGAAGGGTGAAAAGTTTCTAAGCCAGCTGCGCCAGGTTTCCTACCTCCGGCACACTGACATTGGAATTGCCAGAGTGGCTTGTTCAGATGCTGCCACAGTTTGTCTCACTACAAAAGGCGATGTATTTGTCCTGCATGAATACAACTGTAGGAAGATAGTCTCCAAGTGAGTAATGCAGTGATTGTCTGAGTGTGGGTTCTGAAGCCCTGTTTTGGTATGGGTGGGGCATATTAGACTTATTCCTTGGCAAGGCGATCAGGAGGTTTGCCTCACACTCCAAAGATCGTTTCAGGGGTGCACCACTCAACTCACGGATACAATTTCCCTGGGGGTCATCGCTGAAGCTGTTATGGGTGCCTTTATTCTAACTTCCTTAGAGGTTGGATGGGGTATCTAGTATCTGCCTTGTTGGTCTATGACCCAGACTGAAATTATTTAATCTCATCATAGTTTGGTTAAACTTTAGGTAGCAACCCTTAGGGGACAGACCGATCGATCGATCATGTTCACTAATCTGTACAGCTTGATTTTTACCAGAATGGTGACTGATCAAATCTTCTGTCTGCAGGACATTTTCAGTATTCTAGGATGCCTATCCCCATGGTCACAGTTTTGATTCACCAATCTTGAATTTTCCTGAACAGATGCTGTGTCCCGTTTGTAATCTAAATAAATTGGTCTCTTGCTTTGATGTGAGAAGCTGATTTGGTCTTTGGGGCATTTTTCACAACTGGCTGGATTAAGCAACTAAATATTTTCCAGGATAGTCAGGCCCACGCTAAACCTTTATAATTGCTTTTTATGATAGGTGACACAAAGTGTTTTTTTACATTACAATTTAAAAAGGATAAATAAAAATATAAAAAAATAACAAATCAGGAGTCTTTTTTTTTTTTTGAGTGTGTATACTACATTGGATTGTAATTCATTATCATCAACATCATGTGCCAAGTCAAGTAGCACATGCAGTCTTGTTTCTTCACAATCATGTTTTTATTTAATTGGGTTTCATGATATTGAACTATTGTTTTTCATTAAAGTTTTTTGGATGTGGATAAGTTTCATATTTTGTTATTCACAATTTTTTTTTTTTTATCATCCTCTTAATAATGCTGACTGCTTGTTGAATATTTATATTGTTAAATATGTCATGCTTGTTTAATGTGTTATCTTACGCTTAACCCTTTCATTTACTTATACTGCTCCATTTGTAATTTATTTATTACTTTACTTCACACTTTTCACACCAGTTTAAGAAATGTTGGATAAACAATTTAAAACAAAATTCTGTTGGTGACTTTGGTCAGGAAGTCATGTTTTGTTTTAAAATGTTCTTGAGGAGTCCCTACTTATGTGGCCCTTTCCCCTCTAAGATTCTGGGACTAAAGGGCTGACACATTAATGAATGTTTAGCGCATCTTTCTCTGTTTAGTAAGTCACATACTGTTGAATTGATCATACTGTGTCATCTTCTGTTTCATGCATTAACTAATGCTGAATGCATCTTCCGTTTCATGCATTAACTAATGCTGAATGCATCTTCCTGTATTTAATATATCATGTACTGTTAAATGTATTTTTTTTTTAGTGTGTTATCTTCTGCTTAATGAATGAACCACTGTTTTATATGTCTGCTTTGTTATTAAAATGTTCTTCTGATCCTACATCCCTGTACGGATGATAAATGATAAATGCAACTTCTAGGGGATAAGACATAGACAAAGCTTTGCTAACATAATTTTTTTCTCACCCTCCATTTATGTAAAATATTAAGATAAATGATTTCTTGCAACTTTTGTGGGACAACACATAGACAAAGCTTTGCTACCAAAACTTTCTTCTGACCCTACATCCCTGTAAAATAATAAGATAAATTATGTCTTGTAACTTCCAGGGGACAAGACATAGACAAAGTATTGGTCACCGGAGGCAACCTTGACCACAGTGTTGACATTGGTATCCTCACTGAGAAGGGAGGGGAGGAGCTGAGTGTCATGATGAAAAATGAATCAGGACAGGTAATTCTATCAGTCCTTTTTTGGGGGGTGGGGGCTCACTGACTTATATCTATATGATATGTTCTGGGAGAATTCTGACCTTCTCTGTCAAACTTTCATCGTCGGTGCCACATGGCTTGTAAAGTGGTATAGGAGACTTTATGTATGTCTGCAGATCATTTGTTGGAGAAGTATGAAAGAAGTATGTTACAGCAGTCAAAATGTATACCCCGATACTTGTATGTTTCCGTTCTTTTGATTATCATATGATCCATCTATGTTTTTATCCCTTCCCTACCATGTATTGTGTCTTAGCTTGATTAATAATAAGTCAGTTCCCTGAAAACTGCATTGAAGAAAATGAGGAAGTAAGCTTTGTTGAACATTTGGATTCAGACATAAAGCACATGCTTGATACATCCAAGAGCACATCTTAGAAGAAGATCAGTGTTAATGTAGACCTGGATTTTAAACACACACACACACACAAAAAGGAATCAGCATCATCGGAGAGAAAAATATTTTTCTAACACAAAATAGCATGGCTAACTTGAAAAGCTGGATAAAAAGTTATCTGCATTAAAATTATTGATGTCTAGTATATGATGCTTTCAAGCATTTATATATATATATTAGAGTTCACTATGTATTTGACACATGAAGTTTGTTATTATTCACTGCATCTCATAAATGTGTCGCTGGAATCCTAAATTTCTAAAACATAACCAAAAATAAACCATGAGGCACAATTTCAAGTATTCCTATATTTTTAATCTTGTTTTTGCCTCTGTTTTTGCCTCTGTTGTTGCCTCTGAGGACTGAAGAAACAAAAAATTTATGTTTGTGTTCAATCAACTGAAATAAGCTTTTTGTGATAGTTGATCATTATCTGGTTATCCTTCATATTGATAGTGTTTCTTCCTATTGGGTTTTCTGTTGAATGTCTTTCATTTGGCTATTTTCTGTTATAATAGTCTTCTGTATTTCAAACTGGGTGCTTCTCTTTTGTGTTTGTTGTGGTGTTCTGTGGAGGAACCCATTGTCGACCATATAAGGTAATTTGCTTTCATCCCCAGCAAGGACTAGTCCCTACTAGGACACATTTGGTGGGGTACTTTCCTTGATTAGGCACGTCGATGCAACACTAAAAAATAGTTCTTCTGAAACTATTTTTCCGGTCATCGCCATATTTTCTAGTGCCTCTTCCATCACATTACAAAGAGTAGATTTTGTCACTTTCTCAGGGTACTTTCTACTTAGTCTGTAAAAAAAATGTGTTCATTTGTTTCATTTATATTTTGTTTAAATAAATTTTTGGGGGTAAAACCTCATAATTTTTTTAAATAACATTTTATTTTTATTTTCTAGCTCTATTTGTGGCGTAGCAGTGATCCCAGCTTTAAAAAATGCCACTTTGCATTGAAGCGCCAGTTGGCGGTGTCTGATGTTGCCATGACAACCTCTTGTCTTATATTTTCTACCAATCGAGGAGAAGCCTTTATGGGATATCTGTCAAACAAAAAAATCATCCCACCATCTAATAAAGATAATGAAACAAAACAAGCCAAGGAGTTGGTGAAAGGTAAGTGTCAATAGTGATTTTGTGTGTCAGCATCAAAATTAAGTAAAGGTTTGTTTCTTTCCCCGCACACCTAATTTCTGCTAACCTCTGTACAACATTCATGTTTAGGGGCAATGGATAAATACTTAATTTTCCCAAGAATAGGCCCCAATGAACCCACACAGGGATATTGAGCAAATTGTTCCATCCAGTAGTTCGCCATTGCTTTCTAAACAAAATACTCAAATTGTTGTTGCTTTAAATTTATCTTTACACCATATGTTGAAATTGGATAAACGGAACTCTCTCTTGAAAGTTGCATTAAGTTGTGGATAGCCAAAATCAAGTTGTGAATGAAAATATTACAATACGTCAGTATCTTGATACCCATTCCTACAAGCCTGAGTAGATCAGTCACAGTTAACAATGGTTTGGACATGTATGCAGAATGGGAGAAATTTCGGCCACCATGGAAGGCTAAGAACCAGGGTGACCCCGGGTTCGTTGGGAAGACAACATCCGACAGTCCCTAACTGACAGAGTACTGAGTACTAGAATGGAACAAAACTAGAAATAAAACTGCTGAGACATCTGGAGATCTCTCTGGCAAACCTCTACACCTCAATGTAGAAAAGGAGCAACTAAGTAAGTAAGAAAGAATGAAACAAAATATAGTGAAAGTAATTAAAAAATTAAAGTAATAAATATAGTAAAAGTAAATACAGTAAAAGAAATGAATAATAAAATAAAATGGATGAATGTAAAATATAAATTTATAACAGATATGGACTGTATCAGTTGAAGGCATGTTGAACATTGATCGTATTAGTCCCCTGTGTGGGTTCTGGGGATCTATTTTGTGGAGGACAGATCCACCTTCCTGTAGCAAGTATATCGTAAATATTGACTAATTAGGGGTTTTCTGCAAATGGATGTGTTTGGGCCGAAAACTGCAGATATTGCAGCCTAGCTGTAAACCACAAAATGCTAAGAACAAAACACAGAAGAAAAAGATGAAGTTCCCATTAATGCTTTGTTATCTTTTGCTGTCTTGCCTTTAACTATCATTTATTTTCCTTGCATGTTTGGACTAAACATGTAGCCATGAGTCTGTATACATTTCTTTTATGTGAGTTGTAAATTTTAGTTCTTTCAGTTCTTTTCCACTTCCTCTTTAACAGCTTTGAGTGTTGGGGGAGATTTGTGGTTCTGCTTTTTGCTTTTCTTGCTACCTAGACCATAGAAACATCGTACTGTTGTAGAATATCTTTGACGTTATCTTTCCTTCTTGGTTTGCCGCATGCTCTTTTATATCTTCTAGTCACTCCTGCAGCCTTTCTCAGAATCTCATTTCATTGATACTAATATTTTTTTCTGGTTTGTTGTGAATGAACAAGTCTGGGACTGGTAGCTTAGGGTGTGGATAATTAGGCTTTGCATATTTTAAGCCCTGAGTTTTTAAAATGGAAAGGTTCTTTTTAATTTTTACCATAATCAGCTAGTTAGCTGCTAGTAGTTGAAATGTTAAAACAAATATTACAAGTTGTGTGTTAAGCGCTTCCATTGAAAAAATATCACCCAAATTACTGTGAGTAGACAAAAATTTTCTGTACATCACAGAGTTTTTATGTCTAATGTATGAATCCCTGTGTGTGTTCTGGGGTCCCATTGTGGGAAAAACAAGAATGTACCCACTGTCTGTCCAACAAGCAGGTCATATGAGTCTACTAATAGAAAGCTTCTTTTTAAGTCGGAGTACATCTGCCCGAGCGGTACAAAACGGTCAACTGCACACACAAAAACCAGTAAATTGGATGTACACTCAGGCCCTGGCACAAAGCCAGAGTCGAAGTGGATGAACAACCAGCACTTTCCGCTGGAGATTACAGCCGGTAAACAAAGAAGAAGACATCTAATGTATATAATGTTAACACCGTTGTTATTTGTTCTGTGGTTATTACTAAATAATAACATTTTTTTCCTGTGTATCACGCAGAGTGTGGTGATGGTTTTGGTCAAACTAGGCTTCTTGATTTACTTCTGAAAGAGGGAGTGGAAGAAGTTCAAGTTCGCCGTCTACCAGTTGTCCACAGAGCTGTGATAGTATCTTCTGATCGCAAAGGCCGGAATTTTGCTGTAATACAAGCTTTGCCAAATTCTTGGTGAGCTGAACATATACTGGCTGTAGTAATATAGTAGTTAGTTTTCCAACACCGTGACCTGAAGGATCTTCTTTTGCATTCACTCATAAGAGGGGAGTTGGCATTGTATTTTGTGCTTTACAGCTATGTTGCAGTATCTGCATCTTTTGACCCAACATATCCAATTTCAGCAAACGCTTTTCATGACATGCTTGTTAAGGTGCACAGGGTCTGCTCTTTCTCTCTCCCTCCATCCCCCAAACTGGGTCCACAAACCCATACAAAGAGATGTGAAGGTTCAGTCTGTTGCAGTAGGAAAAAACTAACCAACATCCTGGCTTACCCCAGGCTTAATTAAATTGGGACCAGACAAATCAACAGCTGTGAGTCAGTATGAGTTGAAGTAACTTGATTACCCTAGAATAAACAATGAGAGAAAAGAAGTTGAGGCATGCATACCATTTGCTGAGTAATGAGTAAAAATATAGTTCATTTCTTTGTACTGAAAGAGTTAATGTCTCATTGTCATTACTAAAATGTTGAATTGAGAATCGACATCACAGCACTCGGGACACTCTCATAAGTGCTCCGTCACCCATCTTCAGCAGCAAGCGAAGAGTTCCAATTCTGATGGTACCAGTAACGGTCTGATTGTATATCTGTCTTATCCTTCCCATGAGTGTTGAGTGTCGGCCAGATCCCCTGGTAACTCCTCGCAACACCATTCTCCTCAGACCGTAATGATCTATGTGCACCTCCGCACTGTTCAATCATTCCCAAAGGGCCTTCACAATATCTAGCTGGTCATGAATCAGTTCACCAACAAGTGGTGCAGAGCCAGCAAGTCTGTCTGCCTGCTAACTATCATTGTCATTACTTTATGTGTTTACCACTTTTGTGCTGGAGGCAAGGAGCCTATCAACCTGAGGATTAAGGGCCACATGGCTAAAGCTGTTGCCGCAGACTGTGCAGGTTAGGACTTTATTTTTGCTGCAGACAAAAAAAATCCACAAATGAGTATGGCTCTCAGTTTTAACTGTGACATTTATTTGTATATTTGTCTGCTAATAATGACATGGAAGCTGTGTCTGTTAATTTTTACAGTGATGGTCAGTTTATTATTTACTGAGATGTTAGTTTGTCATAGAAAATGTTTAGTAAAGTAAAGGACCCTTTGCATGACTTTAGCGCATTGGCAGTTAATGTTAGACCTGTATTTGTATAACCCAGTCGATGGGCGATATGGTCCTTCGTCAGGCAGACTGTCTTTACTTCGCAAGACATTACCTGGTATCAATTTTAGGCTGGGAGCCTGGGTCCATTTTGAAAAAATAAAATATGTCTCAACCTGCATCTGAACCCTATGTGCTACAGTGCTACAGGTGCTTATTAAAATTCTAAATTATTATAATGCACTTCTGAATGAATACTGATAGGTTTTTTTGGTTTTTAACAATGATTAAGCAATATTTTTTTAAATAAATCCTTTTCATTAAAAATTCTAGTAACAGTAGTATTTTAAATGCATATAACATTTGTATCAGCTTTGTTCTCTTCGCAGCATGTCTGAGTTTCCCTCAGTAACTACCTCAGAGATGAATGAGCAGTTTGGTAGACTTTTATCTGAAGCTGACAGTCAAGACAATATCCATGATGCTGTAATTCAGGTAAGTGTCATTCTGTATTGTCTTGTCAATCAGTTGTGCCCCGGGCATACAAGGATCCTGTTCACATGTTTGGCACATATAGTTGTAGACCTGTATATTTTATAGACTAATTTGCACTTGATACTGAAATGGTTAGGGCGTATTGAAAGAATGTCAGATTACAGAGAAGAAAAACTGTATACACAAGGGAGATGAATGGTCATTCCCATTCATGGGAATATGGAGAGATTATGTCTAGACAGATCTGCAAACACTTGGTGTCACCAGCTGAAAAGATAAGGCAGTCAGAGAGATAAATGGAGGCGGGTGATATCTGCAGCACTGAACCTCAAGGGCTCTGAAATATGAAGAAGAAAAAGAATATGCACTTGATAGATGATATGGTCAGCATGACGCCTGCCACATTGACCTCTCCAGGCTTTACCATACTCAGTTGAGGCTACTTGCCATTTTGAGACAAATATAAAAAAATGACTTGATGAAGGTATGAACCCTAGACCTTTTGGTCGGCAGGCAAGCGGTTAGCCACTACACTACTGCAGCTTCCAAAAGGCCATAAAGAAAGCAGCAAATACTACTTTAGCTAACCATGCATGCTTTAAAAGGTTAATAAGAGGGTTGACATGGTTCTAACTCAACTCCAGGCAGAAGAGATTTGAGTTACATACTTGATACTATCAGGAAACAAGTCCTCAGAAGGGAAAGCAGTGTAAATAACCAACCAGTAAGAGAGAAACTCTTCTTCAAGTAATAAATATGCAAATGTCAAAAGAAATGCAAATGGAAGTAAGGCTTCTAGTGAAGTGGACATAAAGAATGTTTGCAAACTATAAACAGTTTTCCCAACAAAACCAGTGAAAGTTATTAAAAAGAAAAAAAAAAAATAAGTAAAAGACCCTTTTCCAAACCTTCAGGGCTGTTGGCATTTAGGGGTAGACATGTTTTTTATAAACCGATCAGCATTCAGTGGGTGATGTGGTCAACATCATGTCGGTGCTGTCTTCAGTTGCCAGGACTTTACCTGGTACCCATTTAAGGCTGGGTTGATCTGTGAGCTGAGGTCTTTGTCGGCTGTCTTCAGTTGCCAGGACTTTACCTGGTACCCATTTAAGGCTGGGTGGATCTGTGAGCTGAGGTATTTTTTTTTTGTAAAATGACTGACTCTATCAGGACCTGTCGGCTGTACCCTTGGACTTTTGGATCCCATCTAGGCTACTACTGAGGTCTTTGTCGGCAGTCTTCAGTTCCAGGACTTTACCTGGTACCATTAAGGCTGCGGTGAGGTTTCTCTTCAGTTTCCCTTTTCATTGCCAGGACTGGTACCTAGTACTCATTCATACTCGTTGATATCAACTAATGATGACTTAAGGAACATAGTTTGACCATGTGTCATGACCATCACCAGGTACCATTTAAGATCTTGTGTGCTGAGGTCAGCTCATCAGGGCCTGAGGCCTTTGGATCCTCTAGCTACTACACCACAGTTGTTCCAACAAAACCAGTGCGGTGAGGTTATTTCTCATTCATACTCGTTGATATCAACTAATGATGACTTAAGGAACATAGTTTGGCCATGTGTCATGACCATCACCAGACAGCAGCTTACATAAGGCAGTATCACTCATATCTTCTTTTTTTCCCCCTCCAGTTAATTCACCTCTTCCAAAGAAGGGAGCATCAAACAACTCCCTCTGAAAAGTAAAATGAATTTTCTAACTTCTGCTAAATTCCCAGAATTATTCAAATTCTGGTCAAAGGCTTTATTTCATCTGTTGTCATATCTGTGCAAATGAAAACTGTGGATACAAATTCTGTTGCTTTGAGTCATTTCAGAACAGTTATAACACAAGAAATAGTTATGGATAAAGTTTCCATTCAGTCCGTGTCTGTCAGACTTGGGACTGTGGAGATGGGTGTCTTATTCTAGTAAAAATTTTATTGTAGGCAAAACAGGGACTAAAACATTTAACAGCCACTAAATTCTTCTACCAAGTGGAGAAAACTCTTTCAAACACAAGAGTGCAAGCAGCAAGTGCTTTACTCATCATACCCATTAGCTGTCAGCATTAAGAAGTTGAGGATGGATTTATCCATCTTACCCACGTAAATGGTGGTTGGCCAAGACTGATATATCCATCTTACTCACTTGAAGGATTAAAGAGCAAAATAAGAAGAAACTCCACAAAACAAACAACAAAATTTAAAAAAAAAAAAAGTTAGTTCCTGTCCTTTACAAGACATTGCAGAACCAACCCCAGCATTTTAGGCTGTTTGTGATTTTGTTAGGCACTTTTGCATTCAATTGTTTGCCATTACCTCTGAATGGTCGGCTGTTGACACCACTGACAAATCTAACACATTGTGGTCTGCTGCCAAATCACCTCTCAGCTGGGAATTACATACCTACTGCTTGAGCCACAGAGGACGATTCCACTGAAAATGCATAAAGTAGTATTAGTCAGATGTAAAAGAATAAAGAAGCACAGCAAAAGGCAATCCCCACATCAGTATAGGACATATTTGAAGCAGTAAACACTATGGAGTCGCATACATGTCAGAGCTTTTTCCAGAAGTGCCAATGCTAAGTGAGCCAAAACAGGAGAAGGAAACTTATTGCTTTTGAATCTGGGGTTATTGTTGTAGTGGCACTGGAATCATTTCAATTAACAGATAATGTACTGTCCCATTTTTCTCTTCTCCTCACCAAATTAGGTGGGAAACAGGTTATGGCCTGTCCATAAATATATTGTTGCCATGAGGTCAGATGTGTTCAAGAACATGGTGACAACCAGTGCTAGCCCCAAAGGGGAGGTACTGATGCTGAAAGTTGACAGTGTCAGCCCTGAGATCATGGAACAACTCATTACCTTCATGTACACAGACATGTGTGACTTTTTGCAGGTAAGCATTTGCCTAAAGAAATATGAGTTGTGTACAGTTATATATGTAATCATTATTAGGCGTTTAGCGGCGTCCGTGGCTAAGGCGGTGCGAGTCCGACTCGTAATCCAACGTACCGCGATCAAAACCCACTGCGGGCTGCGTGGGTTTTTATCGTGGTATGGGACGCAGGTCGACCCAACCTCAAATGGGTACCAGGATGGGCTGTCCTGGGAAAGTAAAGACAGCCGGCGTAATGCTGACCACATTATCCACCGAGTGCTGATGGTCTGTAAAAATATGGGCGCTCTTCCCATATGCCCGATACGCCTAAAGGCGTGAAAGGGATCTTTACTTTTTTTACTATATATGTAATCATTATTAGGTGTTTTTATTAGTTGACGGATAAGCATATACGCCTAAAAACTGTCAGTGACCTTTGAAATATAAACAAAAAACAAAACAAAAATTCCTGTCATTTGATTGGTTGAACCCTAAATCTTTGAGTCCCAAGGAACGCATCATACGTTCATAGATTTCTACCTAGATGCCCAATGAACACATGATGCACCGATTTTACGTCTCTCTTGACTACCCCTTGGGTCTGTGATGCTAAACCCCCTGGGACTCAAAGAGCTAAAGTATTCTTCTGTGCAGTTTGAAGATATTGACTCATTAAATTACAAAGTACTCTGCAAGTAAATGGAAGTGTTATCCCCCCCCCCCCAACCACCCTCCCCTAAAAAATAGTCCTTATTTCATATAAATTTACCCTTAAATACTATTTTGTCTTACTCCATACCGTTTAATTCCCTCCCATGTTTCTGTATATCAGCCTGGCTTCAAAATCAATCTGTCTCAAACATCAGAGAAGGAGAACCTGGAACAGCACAAGAAACTCCCTAGATCACTTCAGGATACAGATGATATTGATGACCTCATTTCTACCAAGGGTTTGTCAGCTTTCCAGGTGCAGGAGCAGAGGAACTTGCAGAAAAATAAAAAGAAAGAAGCTGTTAAAGCTTATCCAGAGACTTCAGAGAACAATGTCCACCATTCCCAGAATTATGTGAAGATGCTACAGGAAGCAGCCAGAAAGTTTGGAGTAAAGGGCTTGTCAAAGAGGTATGCTTTTAGTTTTTATTCTGTTATCATCATCATCAGCCATTTCCACTTTTGACATCAAGAGTTGTTGGGGAGGAACAGTTTGCAATCCATTGCTTGATGGTGTCGTATGGCAGTTTTGTCGCGCACCTTTACTAACGGAATATTTTCACAAATCCCTCAGGTGCTCTGAGACAGGAGTGTTTTGAATGGTGGCTCTCGTTCGTCTAGAGGCCTAACCCTCGGTTCAAACTTTCCATTCAACCTGTCTCAGGGATGACGTGACACGAGCTCTGACTCCACAGGGTTATTATGAACACTTGGGTACCTCTCGGCCAGACGTCCCCACCACTTATATGCCCCCAGACTGGGAATCAATGGAAACCCAGTCGAACAAGTAATCAACAGTGAATTTGACAAGACAAGACCACCTTTCTGAATACGATAATGAATCCCAATAAAATGAAACTATTCTACTGACCGGAAGACTGATGAACTATAACTTAATTGTAATTAATTCACCATAACAAAGTTGCCAAAACAGAAGAACATTCTGACACAAGAGAAAGAGTTTTTCTACGTAGACACTTCCAATTCCTGGATCATCATGGCGGAGGTGAAGAATTGATCACTAAGGCCCATTTGGAGACGAGCCATTTCACAATTATTGCTTCGACTTATCTGATTAGATCTCGTAGCTCCTCAGGATGCCGGAATGGAGTTTCACACTACCGTACTTTATAGCACGACTTCACAGGAACGAAGCAGCTTCTCAGGATGCCGGAAAGGAGTTTCTCACTGCCGTACTTCACAGCACGACTTCACAGGAACAAAGCAGCTTCTCAAGATGCCGAAAATGGAGTTCACACTGTCGTACTTCACGCAGCACGAATTCACAGGAACAAAACAGCTTCCGACATCGATCAAGGACGATCACCTCGAGAGTCGGACGATATCGACTCAAGTATCGTCCACAACAATCAGCCAAGCAATTCACCACACGTCAATTGCTTATTGGGTGTTGGCAGATGGAAACCACTCTACCAGACACGGACACTTGTTGGATCTTCATAAATCCTGAAAAACGCAAAGCAACAGCCATGAGCAAGCCGTACCCAACGCACCCAGTTAATCAAAGTCCTCACTCCCAATCCCAATGCTCAGATATACTTAGGGTTATTCCAAACCATGAAGGGTTGGTTACCTCTATCTTAGAATCCATTTAGTTTTCCTAGAGTGAGCACTAGATCATTAAATCGAATAGTGCCTGGATTCAGTTCTGATAGTGAAGGTTAGACAGATCTCCATTATTTACCCTCCCCTCTCTAAAAAGACCTTTTCCGTTAAATAGGGAGATAAGGGATAGGCGATGAAGTCAAAACTAAGACCGACTGAAAATATGTTCTGAAAACAATCCGACAGTCTAAGCTGTGTTGTGGTTACGAAGTCACCACTGCAACAGCGGATATGACGTCATGCCTGTCCCAGAAGCTTCTTGTCATTCACAACGGTTCAGCGACTTACCAGTTTTCTGATACCGAATAACAGCAAATAACTAATCATACAAAGTTATCAATACCACAAACCCATTCCAGATATGTGGATTGATTAATCCGAAGAGGTTTAGAAGGCCATTTCAATGAATTCTCTGAGAAATGTCAGCCGAAAGTGCATTCCAATCCGGAGCTCCCTTCGCCGTCTCTCATCGCAAGAATTGTAGTCAAACAAATTCGCATTATCAATCTGCTGACCTTACTTACCTACCTCACAGATACTTTGAGCACCAATATTCAATTAAAAGTCCCCATGAAAACTCACCCATGATAAATGAAAAGAGAATGAAGAATCTTGTCTTTTTAACGGTCAATTGGCGACACACAATGACAGCGACTGCCTCCAAGACCGGACTATAGAGAAGTGACGCACAAAAACACGTTCCCAACTACAGCAGTTAGCGTACGTATCCCGCTCACGAATGCAGTGCAGTGGTCAGACAATTTATTTAGAATAGGCGTAGAAAATGTGTCCTAACGTTTAATTCGACACTAAAAGCCTAAAAGAGTCAATATCATAGAGATTTATAGGAACCTTTACTATCAGGACTCCCCCACAACAAACGAACTATATAACTATGGTTGGCCCATACTAAATCATAGTTACGGTGACGATTTTGGGGGTGTTCAGCCTGTGGACCTCCCTACTGCGGCAGATGTGTGGATTCTGTCATGCGACAGATGGGTAACAGTGACTCTTGTGATTCCATGTTGATGTAGAAGTCAGAAAGTTTGGATTGAGGGCTTGTCAAAGACGTACATTTTTAGTTCTTATTCTGTGATCATCATCATCATCTATTTCCACTTTTGAGGGATGACCAGCAGTCTGGGAGAGTGTACAACCAAGACGAGATAGTGTGTGCTGGAGATCAGTTGCAGCCAGCCTTCATTGAGGAGATGGCACCTGATTGGTTGAGTACCACTGCAGGAATGTGTGGCACTGTATATTTGCACAGAGGATGCAGGCGAATGATTCATGAAAATGTGTTTTCAGAAGCCATTTATTCCGTGTCGGTTCCGGGGCCTTATAAAGAAAACAAGAATAGACCCACTGCCTACCCGAAAGCATGTCATAAGAGTTGATTAATTAAAGTCAGAGTTTAACTGCCTGAGAGGCAAGGAACCAACAGTCTGCAGACAAATAAGTCAGATCTGTAAAATGGATGCACATGCAACACATAGGTTCTGGAACAGGACTGCAGCCCAGAAGTGGACGAACAACCAGAACTTTTTGCCAGAGTTTATGAATGCGAAGAAAAAGACAAGCCATTTATGAAATTTGTAAATAAATTTTGTGAATAAAAGATTTGTTATAAAGGTATTTATGAGTTTCCCTGCACAGTGGAAGTGAGTCAAGATTTGTCAGTAGTGCTTGAAAAATGAATGTGACTGAAGATTTGTGAGTAGTGCTTGCACAGTGAAAGTGAGTGAAGATGTGTCAGATGTGCTTGCACAGTGGAAGTGAGTAAAGGTTTATCAGTAGTGCTTGCACAGTGGAAGTGAGTAAAGGTTTATCAGTAGTGCTTGCACAGTGGAAGTGAGTGAAGGTTTATCAGTAGTGCTTGCACAGTGGAAGTGAGTGAAGGTTTATCAGTAGTGCTTGCACAGTGGAAGTGAGTGAAGATGTGTCAGATGTGCTTGCACAGTGGAAGCAAGTGAAGGTTTATCATTAGTGCTTGCACAGTGGAAGTGAGTGAAGGTTTATCAGTAGTGCTTGCACAATGGAAGTGAGTAAAGGTTTATCAGTAGTGCTTGCACAGTGGAAGTGAGTAAAGGTTTATCAGTAGTGCTTGCACAGTGGAAGTGAGTGAAGGTTTATCAGTAGTGCTTGCACAGTGGAAGTGAGTGAAGGTTTATCAGTAGTGCTTGCACAGTGGAAGTGAGTGAAGATGTGTCAGATGTGCTTGCACAGTGGAAGCAAGTGAAGGTTTATCATTAGTGCTTGCACAGTGGAAGTGAGTGAAGGTTTATCAGTAGTGCTTGCACAGTGGAAGTGAGTGAAGGTTTATCAGTAGTGCTTGCACAGTGGAAGTGAGAAGTTTTGTAAATAGTGCTTGCACAGTGGGAGTGAGGGAAGATTTGTGAATAGTGCTTGCACAGTGGGAGTGAGGGAAGATTTGTGAATAGTGCTTGTACAGTGAAAGCCAGGGAAGATTTGTGAATAGTGCTTGCACAGAGGGAAGTGATTGAAGAAGTGTCAGTAGCGCTTGCACAGTGGAAACGAGTGAAGATTTGTGAACAGTTCTGGCACAAGGCTTCAAATATTTGGAGAAAGAGTGTTCAGTACTACATTCATATCTGTCTCATTTGCAGATTAGATGCCGTAAAATGTAGCAACGGCGTCATCTTGTCACATGGAAAACCGTTAGTCAAACCAAAAGTCAAATTTGATCGAACAAAGCTGTAAGTGTTCTTTATGTACTATATATTTTTAGAACATTTAGCACATTTGTTTAGAACTGTTGTGGTTATGGAGGTTGTGGATTCTTTTCTGTTGGGGGCAAAAATAAAATCCGACCTTGCAGTCTATGTCGACAGCAAAAAGTCATGCGACCCTAAATCTTCAGGCTCAGACACCCCTGCCTGCATAGCAGAAGTGGTACATACAGATAGTAATGACAAATCTTTGGGGGTGTTTAGAACTGTGTTCTTTGTTCTTTTAGAGACTTTTTTTTTTAGTATAACCTGCCTATCTTCCCCTCATGGTGTCTGGGTTAAAGAACAGACCCACAGCCCCCTGAATAAGCCTAAAAGGTGACTAACTAGGGGTTTTCTGACAATGGATGTGTTAGGCAGAAATGTGCAGATATTGCAGTGTAAACCACAGTGCAGTGTGCCAAATGCCACTTTAAGGCAGAGCACAGGAGAAGAAGTGCTTGTATGGCTACTAACCTGTTGGTGTGTGTCAGTATGCATGTCTGCCTTTTGGACAGCTAAAGTCTAAATGGACTGAAGGAGAGGGAAGTTTGGGCTTGTTCTGTACTTGAGTTTTGTGAACAGATCTGCCTTATTTCTATGCAGACTGTTGGTTCCTCATGTTTCAGTATGATGCACTCTACTTTGAAGGAAATACCTCTGATTAGTCAACCTTTATGACATCATTCTTGTTGTGTGGGTCTCTGAATATGGGGTCGTGGAAGCCGCACCAGTCATCTAGCTGCTACACTACATGGGTTCCCTGTCTAGAACCGAGAGATTTACCATATGTTTTCATGTATAAGATACCCCTATGTATAAGCGACCCCTACTATATTTCTGAAAGTTCAAAATTAAGAAATAAAAATTTTAATCAAACTCCATGTGAATACAAGACCCTAATTTTAAACCTAAAATTTTTGGAAAACATTGTCTGATACACAGAAAAAATGTGGTGTGTTAACTGGCCTGCTTTCCTCTTCTAGACCAGAATTGTATGATGTGAAAATCAAGACTGAAGGAGGCCTTGAGGTCCAGTGTCATAAATGTGTGCTGGTGTCCAGACTGGAGTACTTTCACAGTATGCTGGCCACCGGCTGGATTGAGACCTTCAACACTACAACCCTAACTCTGCCTGTTTGCGGAGATGTCCTGGAGGTGCTTGTGGATTACCTCTACACTGACGAAGCCGGTCAGCTCAGAGGTATTGTTTCTTCTCATATTTTAAACATTCTTATTGCCAGACAAAGAATGGTGGCAGCAGTATCAGTTAATCACAGTTCCAACTTTATGGCAAATGGGTCACCTTATAATTGCCCCATTCTTATGCTAGTAAAAACCACATAGAAAGCCAGTTGCTGTCCCTTCGGGAAATATTAAAACAGAAGTCTCAGTGAAGCCAGCAGCCTACACAATGCATTAAATGCATAAGGCAGCCTTCAGAAGTTCTATTGTTTTGTCCGTTAAGTTTTCCAGTCACAGTTTGTGCTGTATTTAGTACTCTGGTGATAAAGATTTTGGTCGAAACATTCGGTTTTGTTTATGTGCATCTTTTCCATTCCCTCCATCGAGTTTTCTAGTCACATTTTGTGTTATACTGAGCATTTCTTGCAATCATCTCAACTACAGTCATCCCTTGTTTAAGCCGTCAGAAGTGCTAGCACAGACGGCTGCTATAATTGCAGATCATCATCATTGGAAGCAGTTGCGCATGCAGTTTTGCCTAGGGGACCATCTGTTCTGTGTCAACAGGCTATCACTATTTTCTGAATCTGCAGTTTATAACAAATCACGTTGGACACAGTCAAATAACAATTCAAATGAAATTTCCAGCTCATAGTGTCACGCCAAGCACTCATCTAAATAGCCGGATGGCAGAGCTAATGTACTTTCAGTCCACACATAGGGGAAGATGCCACGGCTGTGTCAGTCTCTGCAGACTGGCTTTCAGCAAAATGCTGAGATCGGCACACAAAGCACAGACTCCGTAACCTCCCCCCTTTCCCCAACCTGATCTATGCTCTCCATAAAATTGCATGCAGTCTGTGGAATGAACCCACAACCTTCAGAGCATGGCCCATATGGCTTAGCCACAGAGACTTCCAAAGGCTCTGTATAATACTTTAACTTTTTTTGTCTCAAACAGGTGTCACTTTAAGTGGCTCTATACTAAGGAGTAGTAATTTTAACTTGTAAATTTGTGGGTCTCAAGAAGTTAAAATAATTAATACTATAAGACAGAAGTGGTTAAAGTAACAATTGGAGCAGAGTGGATTAGTGTAACAGTGAATTGAGTCCAAACAAATGAGAAAATTGTGCTCTGTAACTAAAACCCAACAAGTGTGCAGCAGTTGCTTCGTACACACCTCTTTCAGTACCTAAGGACAGTTAAAAAAGCTATCAATCATGCTTGATGCCTTCCTCATTACCCAGAAAGTCAGTAAGTCAACACTTTGTAGTCAAGTTACTTTTCTCAACCCTCATGAAAACATATGGGAAAACTCAGAGAGTTATTTGAAGTCGTGTGCTTTAATTTGGGGTGTAAATTACGTACAGCGCACTCCAGTAAAGACAGACAGGGAAAGACAAACTGTGGCACTTTGCTAGAGGTCAAACACAGCAAGCTGTAGAGAGGAGATGAATGAGAGAAGACCCGCCTCAGTTTAATAAATACAGTATCAGTGTCTTTGTATAGACTTTATGGTAGAGACTGCCACTGCCACACTGGACTTTACAGTCATAGCAGACGCTGTTCCTAGAACCAGCAACACAACTCCAACATACATACAATATTGCATTAATTTTGTGATTGTAATAAGCATTTCTTGTTGTTGTTGCAGACAGCACAGATGAGGAACTGCTGTGTAATGCATTAATTGTATCAGATCAGTTGCTTGCATGGAGGTTAGAAGGAGATGTGTGAAGTTGCTCTTACCAACAGTAGTAAGTAGGGTGTTGTTCCAGATCATTATATTTACTATTGTGTTATGAGCTTTTTCTTCTGATGTGGTAGAAAATTAAAATGTGGTCTTTGTATTTAGGGGTATGGTAGATAGCTTTGTGTGTGTGCGCATGTATGTGTAGGGGGAAGGGAAGCGGATGTTTTACAATCAGCCATACATCCTAGCCAGCATAGGTGCCAGGGAATTCTTGGGAAGTAGTCGGCCATCACTTTGTTGACCACATCACCCATCTACTGTTGATGTATCTATAAAAATATAAATCTAGCATCATATGTCCTTGAAAAGGGCCCCTTTACCTTTATATATATAAATATATATATTATATATATATATATATATATAATATTATTTATTATATATAATATATCTATATATAGATATATATATATATATATATATATATTATACATTATATATCGCACATGTGCCTGCAGAGTGGTACCTTGGTTGGCATACTCAATCCATTCCTGATCCTTGGATATATACCAGTCAGTACGCATACCAGGCCAAATTTCCCATAAAAAGTTAATAGACTAAAGTAATCCTTTCCAGTTTTTAAAAATCCAATTGTGATTGGCATATTATACATTGATGAGGCTTGTATAAAATAATTTATTTCTCCCTAATGCTAAAATATATAAATATGAAAGCAATAATAACATTAAATAAATTTAATCTCACTTTATGTTCCTGAGCAGAGCTGAGTGCCTGCTAGGATGATACTGAGAAGGGAGGAGGAGGAGGAGTTATTGTTTGGAAGCAGTGTCCCCTTCCAGTAGAACTTTAGAAATCTAAAATTCTGTTTTTTTGTCTCTGCTACCTGGACCTGGTTGAGGCTCATCGAGTTTGATTTTTGTTTAAAATCTGTCCAAAAGACTTTACTTCTGCCGTCTCCTCAAAATGTTTAGGAAATGTGACATTGTCTGGTCATTTTGTTGGGGTGATACTCCTCTGAAAAGTCATTGACGTATATCAGTGGCTTTGTCTTGAGAGAGGTAAACAAAGCGTGCGTTATCTAGGAAATTTTTTTTTACTTATACAATTTCTAGTATTTGGGTCGTATTCCAAACAGAAATCATATACCAAGGCAAACATTTTCATGTCTAAACAGGATGTATACCAAGTTGAACATATACCAGAGTGAACATATATATACTGAGGTACAATTATGTATGTATGTATATATAAAATTGTTTGATCTGGCGTGTGTGAAATGGGTAGTTATATGCATGTCTGCATATGCGTATGCAGAAATGTCTTTATATAAATTTAACCACTTCAGAAAAGGTGTTTGCTAGTTTGTGTTAAAGTCATCAAGTCATTGTTGCCTGTTACCAGTTGCCTTCAAGAATGTCAGTGAGCTTCTGGAGTTTGCCACAATCTACAACGCTGAGCAGCTGAAGTTGTCTTGCTTGCAGTTTATTAGCATTAATCTCCCTGCCATGATTGAAGGAAGGTGAGTATTATTACAGTTATCCTCTTTCACCTATGGCCTCATTCACTTAACATTCATGTCAGGAAGATCAAACATTGTGTCAAATTTAGATGGTTACACCCGAGCATTTCAACCTGTCTACATTGGTGAATAAAAAGAAACAAAAAACCAGGAATCATAAACAAATCAATAGGAAGGTCACATAAAATGGAAATGCAAAAAAAAACTGGAACAGGTGATAAAGACTATTTAAAACGTTTGGCTAAATTTGATTTTTTTATTTTTATTTTCTGTTCATCTTCCTAGTCATAGAATGGTTTCTCTTGTTACTACTTGAAACTAGCTCTTCTACAGTTGCCACTGTTTTAAAAATCGGTAATTCAAATACTTAGAAAGTATTTTTTTTAAAAGAAGGTTGACAGTGATAATAACCGCGTTTTTTTCCCTAGAAAAGAAAAAAGGTGCTTGTACAGCACCAAGTATCTTTAAAAAAGTGTCTGTACTCGCCACAAAGATAAAAATAAACATTCCCATCTCATACCGCCAGAAAAAAAAGCCAAGTTTGTATCACTAGCTCATATGTATAATGTGTTTCATAACTTTTGCACTCGCACTTTAACAGATATCCCAAAAACTCCTGTACTAATCAACATGAATTTTTGCATGTGGCCTTAAATTTCCCATGATGTTATAATTTACAGTTGCACAGATACTGCTGTTTTCTTAAAGCAGTGAATTTCTTTGATCCTTGTTTGACTAATAATTTGTCCCCCTCCCGCCCCCTCGCCACAACCACCCCCTAAAAAAAAACGCAGTAGAATTTACAGTAATTGACACACGCTTGGAAATTGTTTGGAAATTATTTCATGTGTGCAGCGATGTGTAGTGATTATTTTGGTAACTGATCCAACATAAAGTGAAAAATTGTGTTCATCTAACTCACAGGAGGCAAATATTGGAGATGATCACATGAGAGTGAAAGTCCTATGAAATGTGTGTATTTTGGTGTTTAAAAAAGTTCCCACTCCACAGTTAACTGAAAGTATGCTGATTATGTGGTTTGAATCTGTGTGTCTCTCCCCCCCCCCCCCCCCCCCCCCCCCCCAATACCAAAAACGAAAAAGGCAAAATAAAAACTATATGTGTGTTTACGTATTAAAAAAATTTTTTTAATTATTATTAACAGGTTGCATGCTAATTTTCAAGAAGTTACACACTAAACGGTTACTGAGTTACAGATTTGTTAAGTTTGGTACAACTTCTGACGGATTATAGACTCTTACAACATCCAGCCTGCTTGTGTCCCATCTGTTGGTTGTGCTTGCCTGTACACTGAAGCTGATTCTCTATAAACATTTGTGATCTGCAGATATCTGGATGTGTTGAGTCAGGAAACTATGGATGAGCTAACAGCTTATTACAAGTCCACTGTGAGTATGGGGTTTGTTTATGGTTTTTTTGGCATGTAACCAGTGGCATAGTCAGGGCTGTAGAATTCTCAGCTCTCTATTTATGGGTTTGGGGAAAAACAGAAAAGACACACTGTCCCCTAACAAACATGTAATAAAAGGCTACTAATTAGGGTATGCTGAAATGGGTGTCTTGGGCCGAAAAGTGTAGATTTTGCAGGTTAGCTTAAAAGCACATCATAACTTGCCTGCTGCCCTTTTATAGGTGAGCGAAGAAGAAGAAGAACTGGTAGCTTTTGATTTATATGGTTTCATTGCCATATAAATTTTAACCTTCCCCATTAACCTAGTGTAACCTCTTAATTATATAGTTTCACAAGGTAGTTGTAAAAGATAGTGCAGTTTATTAAAGTAATTGTACAAATATTGCAGAGTTAAGTAAGGTGATTTTAAAAGTAATGTGAGGTTTTGTAAGAAGATAGCTGTAAAAGATTGCAGTGTTCAGTTGCTGTCCATACTCACTATATGCCATGTATCTAGTTCTCTTTACTTGTAAAGTATATTCTACTTAATGTTATGGACTAGAAGTTATATGACTTAATCTAATGAAGCACATTTGTAACTATTTTTATGTAAAAATGTGATTGTGAAAAGTGAAAGATTGCAAGATTTAGATGCTGTTAGTGTTCAGCTTACTTGATTTAGTATCTTCTTCTGCTTCTTCTTCTTCTTCTGCTGCTGCTTCTTCTTCTTCTTCTTTTTCTTCGCTTAAAAGTAGGCAGATGGCACAGGTGTGTTGTGTTTTACAGCTAGGTTGCAATATCTGAGCCTTTAGACCGACCCAATTAAATTTCAGCAAAACCGTAATTAGTCACAATTTAAGCTATATTTGTAAAGGTGGGTCTCTCCCCCAAAGGACCCAAGAACCTATAAAAACTAAGCTTGATTTAGTATAAACTATATGTATGTGTGTTTAAAAACAGGCTACATGCGTTGAGAGAACTGTTCTATAAAAGCTTAGTTGTATTGCAGACTCCAAGTATGGCTTATAGGGTACTCACCCCCAATACCGAGGGTCCGCCACAGGCATACATCGATGAGCTTGTGGCAGAGTTTGAAGGTCTCACCCTGGACAGCTCTTCTCATCATTTGAGCGAATACAGCCTGGCCAGAAAGGGCAAGCAGCAGCAGCGAAAAGAAGAAATCCAGGAAACTAAGTGGTGGTGAAACAGCTGGGGATGAAAGCTTGAAGGTAGAGATCCGGGATGTGGAGGCCAGACTTCCATCGTTAGAGCGCACTTTGTCAGTTGGTTCAGATGTCAGTGGCAAGTCAGAAGACAACTTCCTGGCAGTGGTTGAGGAGATCCACAGGCAAGCTGAGGAGAATGAAAAGGTGAGTTTTTGTAGGAGAGTAGAATTTTGAAATTTCTCAAGTATTGTGTATTCATCCTTCTCATAGTTGCTGTCTCAGAGAAGTAATTGTGAGTCATAAGACTTATATTATATGCAGCCCAACTTATAATTTTTTTCTGTGTGAGCATCATAGAGAATTGTGGTCAGCATTATTATATGCTGACTGCCATACCACGATAAAAATCCACAACAATAAATATTATAATATATTTGAAATAATATGAACTGTTTAGACAGATGGTTACAAATAAAATCCATTCATGGACGGGGTGAAGACTAAACCCCCTAGACAATTTTTGAGGGAAGGGGGAAAGGCTCAACCCCACTAAAAGGTATCCCCCATATTCCTTTTTAAAAAAAAATGGGGGAGAGGGGGGAGCTCCAAGGGCCTGAGTCTCCCAGGTTCCAGTGCCCCTGACCATTATAGCATTTTCTGGTGTTCTGCCCTGATGTGAGAAATAGTTTCTCTCCAGTCCCATTCTTGTGAGAAGTATCATGAGTCTTTATTGTTACCCCAGCAGATTCATTCTTTTGTCAATATTGTGCTTTGTGCCGCCAAGCTTTCTCAGGTTACCAGATGATGTGTATCCAAGCCAGACAATAGTGTTATATTTTGCTATGGGGAGGCACGGAAAGCAGCAGCATATGGCAGAGATGAGTGGCTAGCGAAGACTCACCCATGGTAGAATCTATCTTAAGTAAT